TAAAACGCAAGAAGCGCATCTTTATTCGAGCGGTTTTTCTTGGCGGAAAAAGTCAGATGAAGCAGAATCGATTTGGATTATGGAGATTATTTGAATGAAATACGAGATGATCGTTTTAGTAAATTGCAAAAATATTACTGCAGAACGTGGAGAATCGTTGTTGCGATCGTCGCGGCTGTTTGTCATGATTTATACCTCTTGCGCGATTCCGCGATGCAAGAAATGTCGAATTAAACTTGGCGTAAACGGGGTAGCGAAGGCGCATGCTAATTAAGATATAACATTGACTAATGACTGCTAATCCTAACGCGCATAAATGAAATATAATTCACCCTGCGGCGGGCTATATTACGCCGTAGTCGGTTTATACGCAGCGCACTTACTTTCACAGGAACGTGCCTGGTGATTTAAGTATCCGCCGTTAATAAGGACAGCTACTATACGTCGGAATAAGCGTGTCCGATGCGATTTTTAACTATTATTAATTTCACGGGAGTTCCCTCGAGCCGGATTGCGCTGTTGGATGCATCGACGAAAAATAACTTACCCCTTTTAGACGAATTTGCATTTGAATACAGTTAACGCTTTATAAGATGTATAATATGAATAATTTTATATGAAATCGCTCTTGTGATATGTATACAAAATTTTAAGCTTCTTTTTCGTTATAAATTTTTTAGTTTATGATATAATTTACAAGTGATTTCTTTCAACAAAAATATGGAACACTCTTACAATTTTTAAGTCATAATAAAACGTTATAAGCACAGAAAATTTAGAAGTTATAATTTAAGAGTAAATAAATAAGAAAATTTCATTTTTATTTAATTGTAATTTTTTATTTAATTGTAATTACTTTAACGGCGGAACATTAATATACCAGAGTTATTAAATAATTTTGGTCGAATTAAGCAGTTTGCTTGCATCTATAATAAGTATTCATTACGCTTTCCCATTTGTGTCGCGACGATGTCTGAATAATAATTTTATTCGCTCACCTCTTAATAGATTAGAGAATCGCGATCAGTCGCAAAAAAACATTGATCCACCCAATGTTATGTAAGAGGCATCTATTTGGCCCCGTTTTCCTCGACTTTGACGGAAAACCCGCGGTTTCTACACCGCAAAGTTTATCTTGCCTGCCGTCCCGTTTTCTTTTCGCAAGAAAGAAAAAGAAAGACGAAGAGCGGAAGAACCTCAGAAAGTTCCGGCGGCAGAAGAGAGGACGGTCCAAGAAGTGCTCTCAGCGTGGAAACGAGAAAAATCACGGGAAGCGCGCGAGCGTGCTGCGCGAGCAGTGCGCCGCATCTCAAGGATTTCTCGGGTTAAAGTCACCGAAATCCCGGCCGGGCAAACGAAATTAGGAACACGATGAACTGGTCCTTTGCGAAAACTCAACTCCGAGAAGGAAAGCTGAGACTAGTCTTGTTAGAATCCGATAAAATTTTTCGCGAATACGTTGGACGCTCCGTCGAAATGTTGAAACACGCGACAAGTTATTTTTTTCCTCTTTACTTTTCTCTTTCTCTTTCTTGTAAAATGGATCAATTAATCGAACAATCGTAATCATTTAGAGAAAACTGTATATAATGTATAAAAGATAGATATGCACTAATTTTCTTGCGATTAAAAGGTTTAAAATTCAAGTTGATTGACTTAAAAATCGATAAGGTAATAATACTTTTTTCAAATCGCATTATCAAAAATATAAACATTTCATAAATGATTCTATTATTACATCTGAGTAATATGTGTAAAATTTCAGCACAAATTTCTTATATAATTTTTTGTTTGCTTTGATTCTTATCAAAGCAAAATCATCCTTTGTAGTACTTTTCTGCAAATTTAATACGAAAGGTAGCATCGTGAATTAATAAAATTTTTTATATTTATTAATAAAACTCTAACAAAAATTTTTGTGCGAAAGTTTATCTAAAGCCACTTACTCGTTTAAAAGTTGTTTACCTAAAACTACAGAAAAACATGGTTATTGCGCAATGTGCAGCATAACCGGCCAAATTTGTTGTTTTATTTTTGCAGTTAATTTCAGAACATATTTATAACCAAAATTTTTTGGCTGAAATTAACTGATATTGACTTTTTTGGCTAATCTTTTTGACTGATGTATTTTTAGCTGATATTTTATAATCAGAACATCCTTAATGCTATTGAAAGTTGTGTGTCGCTATATTTTTATATTACGTTTATATAACAAATTTCAGTTAATATTTTATTCAGTTAATATTCTATTTTCTCACAAGAATTTCACTTTACACCATTTATTAAGCTCGTCAAGATTAAAATGTTTCGTTTTTGCTCTTCTAAGTAGAAACAAGAATTTTTCACGACATAACAGTTTTGATATGACAGATAATTTTCTCACAGTGTACAGGTAAAGTCGCTATTTTATGTATGGAAAAATTGCAGGAGTTACGGAAGTATTATTTTGTACGAAGTCATGAAACTCATAAGAAAATGCAAAAAATAAAGAATTAATGAGATATGATTGTATACTGAAATAATAGTAACATTATTATGACATTTAATACATTCACGTATAAAAATTTTTCAACAATTAAAAGAGATTTTCAAAGAAACTATCGTATTTTTTAACACCGGAAGATACATAAATTCAACTGTAATATTAATAATAAAACTGTCTAATAAGGATTTTCAATTGGCTCTGCATTAGTTTTATGCGAACCACACTGAAATAAATAGTTAATATATGAAGACTTTATCAGCGAACGGCGGCTTTGTGAAAATGGTTTTTAATTCAAAGCGATCATATACAAATGGCGTCCATTAACGCGAAATCGGATGGCCTGGTAATCGTGCAACTGTCCGTGCACGGTATATTGCCAGTTCTTTGTACACGACGCGACGCTTTGTCAGTTTTTTCAAATTAAAAATATTCAGTGAATGGTCGCGAAAAAAGGAAAACAATCGGTGTGCTTGTTTTCAACATCAACGAGATAATTCTTTCTCTTCCGCCTTTGCAAAGGCCGTGTCCAGGTTACGAGTCCTGCCATTCTCTATGTCTCTCTTTTCTCCCAGAGCCGAGGGAGATTGCTTCTGGCACCCTGCTCGGAATAACAAATATAAACCGACGATTTGCAACCGCTGACGTAAAAGGAACCGATCCTCCGCGGCTGCCGCGCGTACATATATCCCGAAATGCAATTTATAGATCCCATTATATATATACACTCATCGTAGGGATGCTGGTATATAATCGAGTTTAGAATTACGATAAAAAGAATTTAAGAGGAAAAAGAGGTACAATCTTTATTTAGCAATTATACCTACGAATAAGTAGACAGGTAGCTCCAATAATAATATATTTTCAATAAATAGAAAGAAAGATTATTATCATATAATTTTGAAATTCTTGTCTAATGCCCGTATCAGGTTACAAAGAAAAAAATCTTTTATTGAAATAAAAATTCAGCTAGATACAAATCTGAAAATTAATTTTGTTGGATTATTAAAATAATTATGAATGTTTATTGTTAATTTAGTTTCTAGAACATTAAAACTTTTTACGATATTATACTCATCATGCTTGAATTTCTTATATAATTATTTTTATGGTATAACAAAATTATTTTCAGATCTATGTAAATTTTTAGATAATTCAGCAAAATTGTTCCTTCTATAGACGTTGAGATTGAAATTGAGATTAAATTTGACCAATCAAAACAAAAATCACTAAACTTGATAGTTTTCTTTCTTCTAATTGGTTAAATTCGATTTGAATCCCAATCTTTAGTCTGACACGGGCATTAGAGTAAACAATTTCACGCGCAGCACCGACAGCCAATTGGATTCACATGAAAAGTCAAACGCGTCAACAAGAATCTCGTGCTTGTCTCTTATGAGTCATTCGTTCGTCGTTGTTGTGATGTTATAAATGTACAGAATCAAACGGATTTCAATTTGGTAAGAAGAACAAATTAATATTGATATCGGCATAGTGAAGATTAATAAAACTACTAATTCTGTCAAGTTTACTGAATAGTACCATAGCATCATAGTTGCAATATCGAATTTTTCTTCAATATTTCTTTTTTCGCGAAAATACTGATGTTATTTGTTACAATTTTTAGTACAATAAAATCGCCGACGCGTCAACATTGCGGTTCATTCCATCAAGTTAGAACCCGAACCCTTTTTCTCGAGACTCGCCGACGCTAGCAGTTATCATTTATATAATAACTGTCATGTATTATTTCTAGTTTTGTGACATTTTATTCCTGCGATTTTGTGTTACTTCTTGTATTATAGGTTAACGATTTGGCAAGTATATTTCACGTTTTAATGATTGATAACTTTCTAGGAAATGCTTATTGTACGGTTTCATAATATTAATTAAGAGCTACTTACGTAGCGAAACCTTATAAGATTATTCCGCGTTAAATTATTGGATCATTGATTTGTGTGAAATTCAATCGAAACATAATTTGCCAAATACATTGAACGATATTTAAAGTCCTCTCAGTTGCCGTGACCTTGTTAATTAGCTACAGTACACGTAAACATCATGTGCTCGCTTTCGCACAATCTCATTTCGCTTGTATTATTCAAACATTTTAAATTTTAAGTATTTACATTTTTAATCATTTTCTCCTAATTACTAGACATCTCCATTTTAATAAGAAATTTATTGTAAACGTTGAATTCTTTTTTTCTTTAATTATTCTTTGATTATATTCTGCTATTATTTCTTGTCGTTTCTTATTCTATATAATAAATATTTCTTTGAGTTCACTCTAAAAGTCCTCTTTCCTTTTATCATAATTCGCATTAAGTCTAAGTTATTGAACAAGATAATTCAGCGATATATTTAATGATTATAGGTTGATTTCCGACAGACGATACAACATTGTAACTCTGGCAACGAATAATTTGATAAAAGACAAACGATCTTTTGTTAATTATTTAAAGTCAAGACGTAAAGAAGGCGCGTAAATAAGTTTAACATCGTAATATTTGTATATTATGATGCAAATATTAAGGAGCATGATCTTTTTCACAATTATATTAGGTAAGATAATTAATATCATTGTGTTATATATATATATTATATATGTATATAACAACATAATAATGAATATATAATTAGCAATTAATTTATTATGATTAAAAATTGGTTCTTTAATTAAATTAATTTGTTAAAAATAAACTTTTATGAGATTTGAAAGAATAAAATTAATTGTTTGATAATTCTTGATGAGAGAATAAAATTAATTCTTTGATTACATTCTGATAAAAAGAGATATTTTTATCAATAAAGAAACATTTTATCAATATTTTATGCAATAAATTATCAATTATGTTCTTTAGTTTCTGTGACTGCATATGTGCTAGCAAAGCAAAATGCGAATTACAAAACGTGGAATAAAAACAACGAGTATATAGAATACAATGAAAAGCACAACAATTACACTAAAAGCAACAAATCAAGAGTTTATATAAAAGACACTGTAATAAGACGATCGCATTACGCAAATCCCTTGCATCTATCATTAGATGGAGGCACTTGGCAATTAATCTTTTTGATAATAATAAGCATGTTGATATTCTCATATTTGCCAATTTATCTCAAGTAAATAACGACTTCTCTTCATATTTATGTTTATATGCTATTAATTTTATAATCAATTAGTTTTATATGTAAGAATGATTTATAATATATCAATGACTCCACCAAAAAAAGATTTTAAGACACGGAATATAATATTAAATATTTGTTATTTGAACTTATTACTAAACAATTAAATAATTATTAAAATAAATAAAAAAATAATTATAATAAAATTAATAGTATTAATTTAATTCAGGCTAAACTATTATTAATAATGACAATTATTTATTTATAAATAAATAGAATATATATTAATTATAATAAACGTTGTTTGTTTGAACAGTATAAAGACGAAATTTTGGCCTGTTTTTGCAAACTGGTTTTTTGTTACTTTGGAGGATTATTTCTCTTTTTGTAGACCCTTAATTGCAGCTGTGACTCGCAATTCAAGAAACAATATGTATCAAGAAGTGTATCAAGCATATAATGTGAGTAAAATGTATAGTATGTGCTATATATCATCACCCACAGAAGAATTAGTTAATGATAGATATTTGCATATTATAAATATATGTATAAGTGAAAGTATAAAAAATAAATGTGTATTTATATACAAATGTCTGCATATATCAAACAAAATTATCATTATAAATATATATTTTAGAATAATAATTTTTTTTAAATATAGAGATGATATTTTGTTGTGTGTATATTATTAATTATGTTCAATTTATTTTTAAAATATAAATTAATATTATTAATAAAATTTTTTAGCTGCCAGTGGGATTCGTTTAAATAAAGCATTTTACATTAATGCCATTGTAAACTAATACAAAGTGTCACGCATGATACCTATTACTAAACATATTAACTTTGTCAACTTCGTGCAATATCAAAAATTTTAATGTGATACAAGTAAAATATAAGTAGATTAAAAATATATATATCAATGACTGATCAAATAATCTTAGTAATCAATATTTTTAGTATTTTTAATTTATATATTTTTGATTTAAATCTTATTTATTTCCAGCTGAATTAAAACAAAATAAAAATTAATTCTTTTAACTTGTTTCTAACTTACTCCTATTATAACTTATTTGAATATAAATTATTTATACTACTATTTACTTAAATCATTATAATATAAAAATTATATTATGATGATTTAAGTAAGTAGCCAAAATAAACTCTATTAAGGATTGTTAATAGATTGAAAAATCGAATTTATGCTTCAAAAATAATGATTCTATGCGTATTGATATATATTTTTAATTGCATTGCATATATTACAATAATATTAACTCTAAATCTAAAATTTGTGTAACTACGCATAATTTTAGTGTTTTAGATTTTTAATATTATAATTTATAGATTGATACATAAATATAGCAGTTTGTGTACATATTACAGATATGTTGAATTTTTTAAATCTGACAAACATTTTTTATAAGTTATATTTTTTTATAAATCATATTTTTTATAAACTATTTTGTACATTAAAATCGACAATTATATACACTCTTGTATTGTTTATGTTCTTAATGTTTATTGTCTTTTTTAAACAAATACAATAAAATAAACGTTATAAATTTTATAAAGAACTAATTTATTTTTCAAAGATAACTTCTTTTCTAGTGTCTTTTCTTAGAAAAAATGTTAAAGAACAATTTTCAAGTTGTAAATGAGTAAAAAAGAAGAATCTTTTAGTAGCTAACTCTCGGAATATTAAACAGATAAGATAAAATCATATCATACATTTAATTTCAAGTGGAATTTGCTAATTTTAACTTGAAATGTAGTCACAAAGAGTGAATACAAAATCTATAACGTATAAAATTAGAAAGTGTGTTTTATAATAAATGAAGGCTTTTCTTGATATTTTTAGTATTACCTAAATCGACTTAAATTAGCTTTTAAAGAAATTCTCATTAAAAAGATCTTTGGTAGTACTGAAACATATTATATAGTTGTAAATCAAGAGGCATGCTTCACATCAAGCGAAGTACGGTAAAGATTAACCGCGTACATTTACGTCTTGCTATTGGTTATCAAATGCAGACATGGTTATTATATACCGCAATAACGACGGAACTAATTTAAATTTTAATTTAAAGCAAAAGATTTTTCAAGTCTAAATTCATTTTGCACAAAATCCTTTTGCTTTAAATACTTTATTTACGCGAAATTATATTATAATATTAAGAATATAGAACAAAGTATTTCCCCTTATATGTAATAAAATAAAATAAATATCTTCCTGCACTTTGGCTGTACAACTTTTTATGTCACATCGTAGTATGAGAGAATTATACTTCACGGTATGTATAATTTTCCATTCCTAAATCGGCACAAGTTTCTTATATTGTTACTTTTGTACAGAACAAAAAATTTAAACAAGAGACAATAAAACATCTCCCTCTTGTTGATATAATAAAGTAACATTTCTTTGTACGATTTCCCTCGCGTACTGATTCTCTCATTTTTACCTTTTCTATTTGAAAAGTTCGATGTAACGCTGAAACCTGTCGATCAGTCGCACATCCGCGCTGCGTCATGGAACGAGATTGCATTGGTCCCAATTGGTCCCGGCTTTGAACGTTATTCCCGATTCGTCCTTTGAGCCGGTTGACGTCTGAAATCGTATCATGCAACGCAGGCAGAATGCGGAGCGCACCCGAAATGTTGCAGAATCGGTTTAACCTCCCTGTCGGGAGGGCGCGACTGCCCTCGAAAAAAAAGAGAGACACGTTGCCGAGTAGCCGGGCGTTCTGATAGTGGCAGTGCTCGTTATTCGCGGTGAAATTACTCGTACCACTCAGCAAGATTGAAGGAAAGATCTTTGATACCGCGATTCCACCACCCTCATCTGAACGCGGTATTTCGCGTCTGTCGCGTGGCTAGACGAGCAAAGCGAATCTTTTTGATGTGCGCCGTGGCGCGTTGCAATCCCAGTCGCATTTGCATGGCACCAGCCGACGAATCAAATTTTCATCGCTGATTTACGAGATCAAAAGTATTTTCCATAATGATATGTGTACGTGCATCGGTATAACATTTCTCACAAGATATCGTACGGAATGTACAAGTGAAATACAGGTAAAATTACATGTTCCTCTTTTATATATTGTATGTGGGTGAAAATAAGTGATCTTAACTCTAGAATGCTATCGATATGTAAATTTTACGTATAAGAGAGTGAGATTGTTGAACGCAACGTTATACTTTCATTGGTTATTAAGAGATTTAATCTGTCATGCTAAAAACTAGGACGAGTGGAGATCATCTAAAAATTCTGTCCGTTATATATTAAATTGAACTTCCTGGTGATCGATATTATAATGGAAAGTATAACAAAACTAATTTCAGTTTTTTACTAAGTAGTTTTGTATTATTTTGTATTGTTATGTATTTAACCCTTAAGTAGGTGCACTGCAACGATTGAAGTGGCTCTGGAGCTTCTCTCCGCCAAGAAGGCTAACCACTAAATCATTCAGTTTATCTTTTACTTATGGTATTGTGATCCTTTTTAAGCGGATTGGAAGTCTATCCAAGGGATTAAGAAGAAGAAAAAATGGCTCTAATATTATGCGCCTACTTAAGTATGGACACATACAATCATACTACATATTATTTTGTCATCAAAAGTGTGGAATGTATGAAAAACTCATTTACATTAATCAAGAGTGGTCTATTTTCTTGATACGTAAAATTTACGATAGAGCAACTTATCACTCAATAGCGATTATATTTCTAGGGTTAGGTATTACCTTGATTTTTTAGGACAAAATTAAAATTATTGACTCATCTAATACTAAATTCTATAATTAATAGATATTATAATTTATCTTCATTTTTTAATAAGTAAAGAGGACAATGAGCCCCAGGCATTTATATCTTGCCAAACTCATTGCCCCTTTTATTATTCATTTAATTTTTTAATTTAAAAAAATTTTAGATATTTATTTTTTATTTTATTTTTGAATATTGAGAATAACAAGAAATTTTTACATTGTATATGTCTTAAAAATGTTACACAGTTTTTAAAGTTTAGTTTACCAAAGAAACAATGCAATACGTTTGTTATTCGACAATCGTATAACATTTCAAGATTTTCTCTCACGTTGAAACACGAAACTGAAATGATAGTACGTTTCGTCAAGCAATACTAGTAAAATTTTACTGGTAAATTCATAAATTCCTTCACACATAGAAAAATCAATTGGAATAGATGTATAACGGAAAATAAATTTTCGACATAAACGCAAAGTGAAATCCGTTGACTGCGGTTTTTTTTAGGATAAGGCTATTTAAAATCGCTGTAGAAGAGTTAAAACGGATGATTTTATAAAGACTAAATGCCGGGTATTATTTCAGATATCTCTGGATATTTTGAAATATAAAGAGCAAACGGGAGATAAGTGCGGCGTCGTTATCATTCCGCTTGTAGCCGCGGTTTGCTCGGAGCGGAATCAGTAACGCTATCACGTACGGGAGCATTCCTGATTCCGGCGGCCACGGCGGTTTCACGTCATATCCAGACGAAAATTGGGAAATGCTCCTAATTTTCGTCGGCGCAGCCGCGTGCAACATTTCATCGCCAACGCTGGACCGATGCTTACAACGGTACATACCATCGCAAGCTGATTGCGCACGTTTCGCATTATCGCGCGATCATTGGGGAATAACGCTTGCCCTGTGCTCGTTGGCAGCTGATAATCGCGTCCCGCGAGACTGGCGAGAGCGAACATAACTGTGAGAAAGAATATCAAGTGATGAGATATAATTGCGACAAATATTTAATTTTACTAAAGAGGTAATTACCTCGTGGTTTAAATTTAATTGTTTGCCCGCAAATTTCTACATCATTCGTATTATTATGAATGCGAATATATGCATATGTGTCAAGTGAACTTTAGGGAATTATTATGGAACGATAAAAAGCAACGTAATGACGATTAATTTTATATGTAGAAAGAGGGAGGGAATTATACAATATTTTGTTTTATAGAGAAATATAATATACACAAGATATTCATGTGACATATCTACTTTTAGTGCAAATTTGTTAGCCACAGAGTGACCAATTATGCTTTAGGAGGAAGTTTTTCAGGCATATAAAACAAATGAATTTACAAAAAATAGAAGAGAAAAGAAAAAAAATAGAAAGAAAAAGATTATGTAGTTATAGAATAGGAAGGAAATATTGAATTATCAATTAGTATAGAGTATGTATAATTTTGCATGTAAGATACATGCACACATTTTGTTATCAAATTTAGTTCAATTACATCATTTGAAAGCCATATTTAAGACCTCCAAGTTATACTAAAGTTATAAATTGGGACCAACATACTTCTCAAAATTACGTGAAGAGTACACAGTTATAAATTATATTACTGTCTGCTATCTGCAAAATTACTGCAGCTTTACAGTAACGCAGTATATACTAATAACTAGTAGCTATGTTATAAGTAGACGAAGAAGTAATTTTGATGGATCCAGAATGCACCGTAAACTATACAAGCCTAGATATATCGTGATATTTCACAACACTAACCTTCCACTATTTCAAAACTGGCTCCTTTCTTTCAGATATAATAATAACCAATAATAATTTCTAATAACTGCTGTATACAATTGTGTACAAGATTTGAACCAAACGAGAAAGACATTTTTCCCCTATAATTTTCTAGACTCGATATATCCTTGACAAAGAAATCAAAGATCTAATAGATTTTAAGAAATGGACAGAGAATAACGTCCTTGCAATCACAATGCTATACAGAGGAAAC